CTTTGATTTCTGTGGAATCAGGATTTACGAGTTAAAGGGAATTCTGTAATTTAGTTTCAATGATTACTGCCAGACTGCTTTTCAAGTTCAGCCTCATGGGCCTCAACTCAACAGATGAGATCCCTTTCTTGTCCACACTCCCACCCGTGAAAGATAGTGTGACATATGTACGTTTTTGCCGGTCAGGTGGCCGTAAGCTGAACTCTCTTGCTCCGCTGCGTAGCTGGGCCCCAGCTCCCGGTGAGTCGAACTTTCCTCCATGTGTGCACGTTTGGCTTAGGCTCTTGTGCAATGCCTCCTGGTCACCACACTCAAAGTTTTTATTTGTCTTTTTCTGGTCAATTTCTAAGAGCTCTCTTAGGTTATAAATATCAGCTCCCTTCCATCCAGTCGATGAACATATTCCAAAGTTATCATTTGCATGTTAAACTCTGATGACGGGGAATTTTGCTATACAAGGCTTTAATGTCTGTGTGTTCAACTACATCTGTTTTTTTCTTTAATAACGTTTGATTTTCTAGTCTATTTAACAAGGTCTCTTGTATAGGATTGTGCCTTGGAGTTTCTTGTGTTTTTCCCCTCCTTTTTATACTATATATCATTATGTACCTAGAATTTATGTATATACATGGCATCAAATGCTATTAGGTAATTAGTAAATTACGCTATTGGTAATTAGATGACTCTCTGCTGTCGATGCAGAGAAATCTAATCCTATTTTCTTTGAGTTCAGTCGGCATTTATTCATTTACTTATTAAGGAGTCAACTCTGGTCATTGGTATTGCCCATGAAAATTGGTGGTAGAAAGAGGTTCTACTGAATCTTATTTGCCTCACTCGGGAGAGACAGAGCGGGAGACAGTATTTTATTTTATTTTATTAATATTATTTAATGTTTACTTATTTTTGAGAGACAGAGAGAGAAGCCGGAGGAGGAGTAGAGTGAGGGAGACAGAGGATCTGAAGCAGGCTCTGCATCGACAGCAGAGAGTGTGACGTGGGGATCAAACTCAAGAACTGCGAGATCATGACCTGAGCCCAAGTCCGATACTTAACGGACTGAGCCATCCAGGCGCCCCTCATACATTAAATGTATGAGTTTACCTAATTTTCCAATTCAATGTATTTATGTTTCTTAGACTTTGATGTATCGTCAACCACTAGTATCTTCTACTGTGTTGAGAGTTACTTTATTAAAGAAGCTGGTTAGGGGCACCCCCACTGGTTCAGTAGGAGGAGCATGTGACTCTTGATCCTGGGGCTGTGAGTTCGAGTCCCAATGTTGACTGGAGAGATTACTTCAAAAAATAAATACAATCTTAAGAAAAAAAGGATGGTTAAAGGAAATTAACATAAAATGGAGAAATCAGCAGGCAAATCGAAGCTTGGGTTTAAAGACTGTTGAGAATTAGCGCGGAGGGGAATCGCAGGCACCAAGTCAAGGCTGTGGTCAGTATCGAAGTCCAGAAAATTCCAACAGGCATTTCATAGTTCAGCAATTCCTGATGTGTGTGGCCTGTGCAACAAAGGGCAGTGTGCCGGTAGCTGAGTTGGCATTGTGCAAGTTCAAAGGTCTTGGAAGAATTTCTAAACCCAGCAAGGCAGGGATGGAGCAGTTCTAAGCACTGGGGCCAAGCAAGAGGAGGAGTGGAAGCGAAAGGTCGGGAGAGGTCTGAACAGAGGAGGCCAGGAGGGAGCAGGCTGAGAAGGCATCTTAGGGCTCTAAATCTGTGCAGGCTGGGCACCTGCTAGGAAGTTCATTGTGGTCGCACTTATGCAACAAAATCTACAAATCCAGGGAATTTTTTTTTAATTAAAAAAATTTGTTTAATGTTTATTTATTTTTGAGAGACAGAGAGAGACAGACCACAAACAGGGCAGAGGCAGAGAGAGAGAGGGAGAAACAGAACGTGAAGCAGTCTCCAGGCTCCGAGCTGGCTGTCAGCACAGAGCCTGACGCAGGGCTTGAACCCATGAACCAGGAGATCATGACCTGAGCTGAAGTCAGACGCTTAACCGACTGAGCCACCCATGCACCCCAATCCAGGAAATTTTTAAGTAAATTTTAATCTGTTTCTTCAAAGATAATGCATTTTCATTTAGGAATCTTAAAAATCACCTACTACAAAATAGACAAAATCACAATAAAATAACAAAGATCACAGTAAATGTCATCATTTTGCAGCTTCACACTGCACTTACACATTGTTTATGTAATTAAAGCTTACTTTATTCACCATCTTCGCACTTGATATGTTTACATAATCAGAGTAGTGAACATGGCATTTCATGTTTCTGCATATTTTTTTCACAGAAGCATAATTTTTATGGAGGTATAATTGACATGTAACGTAATGTGTTTCCGACGTGCCACTTCACGATTATTTGTACAGATTGTGAAATGGTGACATGGGTACATGTAGTTTGCAGACATTTCATGCACATCTCCCATGTACTAAGTGAGGTTGAATATACTTACTGGTAATTTAGTGCTTTTTTGAGATGAGAGGGGAGGGAGATGTTTTCACATGTCCGAATTAGGTATGAGTGGAAATGGAAAGATTAAAACGAGTCGGGGGGCGCCTGGGTGGCTTAGTCGGTTAAGCGTCCGACTTTCGCTTGGGTCATGGTCTCGCGGTTCGTGGGTTCGAGCCCCGCGTCGGGCTCTGTGCTGACTGCCAGCTCAGAGCCTGGAGCCTGCTTCAGATTCTCTCTCTCTCTCTCTCTCTCTCTCTCTCTCTCTCTCTCTCCTAGAAATAAATAAAACATTAAAAAAAAAAAAAAAAACGAGTCGGAATCCAGAAATTAATCTCACAGCCTTTCTTTTAATGAAATATAGTCTAATTATTATGGATAAGACGCGCTAGACTATTGACGGACCCAATCATCTGTTTAGAAATTTTTCAATGAGGTGTCACAATACTGTCGCAGATGAATGAGCTAGGAATTTGCATGTGCCGGTGATCGGAGGGTAAACCCTGATGGGGCAAAGCCTTTTGAGAAAGTGACTTGGAAATGTCAGAGCATAGTCTATATTTATACATGTATATATACATATATAATTTTAATATTTAATAATTTTTCATATCATTGTAAAATCTGAATAAACATCAATTTATATACCTTTTAAAACTACTATTTAGGTGGTCTGGGTGCTTTCTGTTGCCTCACTTACAAGGCAGATAATGCCTAGATTTCAATTGCTCTTTTAATTTATCAATTCAAAAGTAGAAATGAAGGTAGACCCAGGGTTAGAGCCTCATTAAAGAGTTTAAGAACAAAATTAATCACAGGAGGCTGTATGGCTCAGTCAGTTAAGTGTCTGACTTCAGCTCAGGTCACGATCTCATGGTATGTGAGTTTGAGCCCCATATTGGGCTCTCTGCGGTCAGCGCAGAGCCTGCTTCAGATCCTCTGTTTCTCTCTCTCTGCCCCTCCCCTATGTGTGTACTCTCTCTCTCTCAAATAAATAAATAACCATTTAAAAAAGAACAAAACTAACTAAAGAGTAATCATTCTGAGACCATGTTAGAATAACACACATGCATTGGGGTTGTCAAATTCAACTCAAAATGGATTAAAGACCTGGAACTTTAAAACTCTGGAGGAAAAACATAGGAGAAAATCTTAATGACATCGACCATGATCTCTTGAATAAGACACCAAAAGTACAGGCAACAAAACCAGAAACAAACAAGTGGGGCCACAGCAAACCATAAATCTTGTGCACAGCAAAGGAACGCTCCGCAGAGTGAAAACACATTCTTTGGATTGGAAGAAAATACTTGCAAACCATATATTTGATAAGAAGTTCATCTCCAAAATATATAAGGAATTCCTACAACTCATTCGTAGAGAAAACGAATGACCAAGAGTGGCCAAGGACTCGAGTAGACATTTCTCCAAAGAAGGTCTACAAATGACCAAGAGGTTTACGAACAGATACTCAACGTCACTCATCATCAGGGAAATGCAGACCCACACCACAATATCATCTCATCCCTGTCAGGATGGCTATTAACAAAAAATAATGTGTAACAGTGCTGGAGAAGATGCTGAGAAACTGGAATTCTCATGAATTGGTGTGTAAATAGTACAGCCATTTTGGAAAACATTCGGTGGTTTCTCAGAACATTAAACAGGGGTTTGCTCTATGACTCAGTAATTCCACACCTATGTATATACCCAAGAGAATTGTAAAAAACATCAGGAATGTTTACAGAAGCCTTATTCATAGTAGGTGAAAAGTAGGGAAAGCCAAATGTTTGTTAACTGATGAATAGATAACCCACATGTGCTACATCCATACAAAGGGATGTTATTTAGCCACAACACAAGAGGAAACACTGAAACGTGATACAACATGGATTGGCATTGAAAACATTGAAACATTGGGCAAAGTGAAAGAGCGCAGTCATGAAAGGGCACGTAATGTATGCTTGCGTTTACATAAGATTTCCAGGATAGGTAAATCTGTAGAGGGAGAAAGTGTTTGCCGGAGATTGAAAGGAGTGAGGAATGGGGGTTGTTTCTAGGAGTGTGGTGTTTTGGTGGGGGACAATGAAAATGCTCTGAAATTGTGTCCTGGTAACAACTCCATGAATAGACTAAAACCTACTCAAGGGGCACCTCGGTGGTTCAGTCGGTTAAGCGCCCGACTTCAGCTCAGATCATGATCTCACGGTTCGTGGGTTCGAGCCCCACATCGGGCTCTGTGCTGACAGCTAGTTCAGAGCCTGGAGCCTGCTTCAGATTCTGTATCTCCCTCTCTCTGTGACCCTCCCCTGCTCGTGCTGTCTCTCTCTCTCAGAAATAAATAAAACATTAAAAAATTTTTTTAACTGAAAAAAAAAAAAACCCGCTGAAGTGGATAAGTTCAAGGAGGTGATTTTATGGTATGTGACTTCTGTCTCATTAAAGCCATTAAAAAATAACAAGTATGCCATTTTCTTCCCTCTGCAGATTTTTTTAAAAATAAAAAGTCAGAAGAGTGGAAAGAGATGAACTCAATGAAACTCTGCTCTGTAAAGCTGAACGATGGGTTCTTCATGCCCGTGCTGGGATTTGGCACCTCTGCTCCTAGTAAGGTAGTCACTGAGGCATTGGAGACGGAAGGGCAGTGCATGCGGGTCCTTATCAGAACAGAATTTGGGGAACGCAGGCGGGCCTCGTTTTCTTTGTTTGTAAGATGCTTCTCTCCAGATTAGGTTATTTTGTGCATTAAGTCAGTGATTTTCAAGTTTTAATAAGCATGAAAACACAGATGATCTTGTTAAAAATGCAGGTTTGAGGGCCGCACCCACAAAGGTTCTGAATGAGTAGATCTGGGATATGGCTCAAACATCCACATTTCTAACGAGCTGCCGAGTGACTCTGATGCTGCTTGTTCGACGATCACACTTGGTGTGGCACTATATGAAGGGACATGGGAGCGCGCCATCTCTCAGCAATGCAGGGGTGCGTGAGGCTGCTTCTGGTACTCCCCCCTGCTGCCCAGCTGTAGCCACTCACCGTCTGTCGCAAGAAATGAAACCCAGTTGTCAGGATCACCACGTGTCAGAGACTTGACGGCAAGGTTGCTTGTGATGAAGTTTGTGAAGAAGTTTCTCTGTGATGTCTAGAGTCCAAGTGGTCCCTGTCCACCAACTGGCATAGACTCTCTAGAGAAATCTCAGCCTCTGCATGATCTGGAGAGAGACAAGGTTGAAGTTAGAGTGTTGGTGGTCTGGAATGGAAATACCTCTTAGAGGCCAAGTTTATTTTCTTTTACATTTTTGTTCCTCCTCAAATATTGCTTGAAGTGTTTCTCCAAGTTTACATAGGTCAATCATTTAATTTATTCTGTGTAAAGTTACACCTTCATTGCACTGACAGATAGCTCTGAGCATTAGACTTCTGGATTGCAACCAGTTTAATAATCTCTTACAGAGTGAATTAACTCAGGACTGTAAATCAATAGATTGTGTAAATCCACATGTGATGTAAATCCAGGGGCAGAGGGTTAAACCCAGGGACAAGCTAGGCTAGCTCATGGGCTCACAAGATCCGATGGTGAGCATCTTTTCCTAATATTCGTGGCTTGAAGTCAGCCGTGGTGGGAGTCTTTACACCATAGAAATTGGCAAATACTCAGAACTTCTTCTCCTCAGAGAGTCTGTTGCTAAACAGCTACCACCGGGTGTAAGTCAACATACAGCTCTGTCACCTCTAGCTCTTAGCCCTCAGAAAAACAATAGGTTCTGCTAAATAGCTCTACTGGTGGGATTGGCCATCTGTTCCTGAATCAGGTAGATCTTTGTCTTTTTATGGTCTTCTAGGTTGCTAAGAGCGACGTGGAAGAGGCTGTCATGAAAGCAATTGATGTAGGCTACCGCCATTTTGACTCCGCTTACTTTTATCTAAATGAAGAAGAGATTGGGAGGGCCATCCGGAAGAAGATTGCTGATGGCTCTGTGACGAGAGAGGACATATTCTACACTTCGAAGGTTCTGTGTACAGTTCCCTATGTATATGTGAAAAGCTTACTCTTAGCTGAAGAGCTTCTTGGTGAAGTTCTCTTCTTATTGGTTAAATTTTCATTCCCACGACCTTGCACTGTGAGAAGGCTGGTGAGGTACTTGCTGGCTAGGGATGTGGGTTCCAACCTCCTCGAGCCTTAGACCTCGAATCTCAACCTCTTGTGTGGTCAACACACATCCCATATCTCTTTTCTATGAAGTGGGAAGATAATACCACAGAAGTGCTTTGAAGGTGGATGTAATGTTTGTGAAAGTACTTACTTTTTTTTTTTTTTAACTTTGAACCATTTTCTCCTATTATTCTTCATTTCTACTGATAGTATATCTGAAACAAATAAAAGAACTTACGGATTTCAGTCAGACTGGAAAGGAATCCAAGAGGCATTTCCTCCAGTAATGTTCACGGAGCTGACTACTATAGAACCAGATATTTGAACATGAGGTGAAGTGTCCCAAAAAGAGACGGTGGAGGTCCATGCAAGTGAAACCTAAGCAGGCCTGTGAAGGGGATTTCTTCCTTCTTGCTCCAGAGTATGAAGCTCTCCGAATGGCTGTGCTAGATGTGGTATCACATTGTACTCTTGTCTGTTTATCTCCCTCCCATAGGGAGGGAGTTGAGCAATTTTGATGGATTTTCCTTAGATTTTTACTTCCTAAAATAAGCTGACTAGAGTGCCCTCCCCCTAAAAGTCGTATAGGTCCTAATTTTCTTGGGAACCCTTAATACATTCAAAATGCAATTTCCTGAATCACGACTGCTTGAAGTTCTTGTTTAACATGCAATTTTCCAGAGGCACCTGGGTGGCTCAGTCACTTGAGCATCTGACTCTTGGTTTTGGCTCAGGTCATGATCTCATGGTTCGTGAGTTCAAGTCCCATGTCGGGCTCTGCACTGACAGTGCAGAACCTGCTTGGGATTCTGTCTCTCCCCTTCTCTCTACCTGTCCCCTGCTTCTGTGCACTCTCTCTCTCTCTCAAAATAAAAATACTCTAAAAATAAATGCAATTTCCCAGCTGAAGCTCCAGATATTGTGATGTTTTATATTGGAGGTAGAATCCAGGAATGTGTTTTGTAATTCCCTTACATTCTAAAATTTGAGCCCCCCTGTGTTGAGCTATATTTTTCCTTTCCTACATCGTTATCTTAATTCAGTATGAAACAGAAGCTATGAAGAGAAAGAACTCAGGAGCTGGGCACAATGGTTCGTCACTTCCCAATGACTGCAGGTGGATTTGCAGTCGTTGTTCGTTTTCCGTTTTACTAATTTCTCCCTAGAGATGCTTTTTTTAAAAAAAAAAAAAGTTGTACAAATAGTTTTTATTTGATTCCCCCTTACCCCTTAGGCTAGAACCAGGCAGCAAGCCCCTGATGACTCAAGCACATAGGCCGTATTAAAAGCAGCAATATTGTTTTATTGAAGTAGAGCTAAAATCGAGTGTTTTTGTTATTAAAGTCTAGTTGACATACAAGGTCTGTTAGCTCCAGGTGGATAACATAGTGACAAATCTGTACACTAGACGCTGAACACGACAAGTGTGGTCACCATACAGCGTCATTACGTTTTTGACGACATTCCCATTTCTTCATGACTTACTTATTTTTGTTTGTTTTTTAAATTTTTTAACGTTTATTCATATTTTTGAGAGACAGAGACAGAGCACGAGTGGGTGAGGGGCAGAGAGAGAGGGAGACACAGATCTGAAACAGGCTCCAGGCTCTGGGCTGTCAGCACAGAACCCGACACGGTACTCGAACCACAAACCGTGAGATCATGACCTGAGCCAAAGTCGGTCGCTTAACCAACTGAGCCACCCAGGGGCTCCCATGACTTACTTATTTTATAGCTATAAGTTTGTACTTCCTGATCCCTTTCACTTAGTTCACCCCTCTCCTCACTCTCCTCCCTTCTGAGAATGACCAGTTTTTCTTCCATATTTATGAGTCTGTTCCTGTTTTCTGTTTGTTTGTTCTTTCGTTTGTTTTGTTTTTTAGATTTCACACATAAATGAAGTCATATGGCATTTTTATTTCTCTATTTCACTTAGCATAATACACTAGTCACAAATGGCAAGATTCCATTCTTTTTTTACGGCTGAGTAATATTCCACTTTTTATAGATACACATCACATCTTTTTTATCCATTCATCTACCCATAGATATTTTCATTATTTCCATATCTTAGTTATTAGAAGCAATGCTGCAATAAACATAAGGGTACAAATAATTCCCAAAAGTGGAATTATAGTAGTGGATCATGGTATTTCTATTTTTAGTTTTTGAGGAACCTCCTCCATATTGTTCCCATAGAGGTTGCACCAATGCACGTTCTCATCAACAGTGCACCAGGGCTCCCTTTTCTCCGAATCCTTGTGAATACTTGTTATTCTTGTCTTTTTGATACTAGCCATTCTGACAGGTGTGAGGTGGTATCTCACTGTGGTTTTGATTTGCGTTTCCCTTGCTATTGAGTGATGTTGGCCATCTTTTCATGTGTCTGTTATCCACCTGTACATCTTACTTGGACAACTGTCCATTCAGGTTCTCTGCTATTTTTAATCAGATTATTTTCTTTCCTGTGAAAAAGCTTTTTGTTTTTGATGCAGTCCAAAAAGTTTGTTTTTGCTTTTGTTTGCCTTGCCTCGGGAGACCTATCCGTAAATATATTGCTAAAGCCAGTGTCCAAGAGGTCACTGCCTGTGTCTTCTTTTAGGAGTTTTATGGTTGCCTGTCTCACATGTAGGTCTTTAACCATTGTGAGTTTATTTTTGTGTATGGTAAAAGACAGAGGTCCAGTTTCATTCTTCTGCATGTTGCTGTCCAGTTTTCCCAGCACCATTTGCTGAAGAGACTTTTTCCCATTGCATATTCTTGCCTCCTTTGTTATAGACTAATTGACCAGATGCACATGGATTTACTTCTGAGCTCTCTATTCTGTTCTGTTGAGCCATGTGTCTGTTTTTGTGCCAGTACCATATTGCTTTGATTACTGCGTATGGCTTTGTAGTATATCTTGAAGTCTGGGATTGTGATGCCTCCAGTTTTGTTTTTCTTTCTCAAGCTTGCATTGGCTCTTCAGGGCCTTCTCTGATTCCATACACATTTTAGGAATGTTTGTTCTAGTTCTGTAAAAAAAAATGCTATTTGTATTTTGATAAGGATTGCATTGAATCTGTAGATTGCTTTGAGTAGTATGGACATTTTAACAACATTTGTTCTTCCAATCCATGAGCATGGTATATCTTTCCATTTGTCTGTGCCATCTTTAATTTCTTTCATCAATGTCTTACAATGTTCAGAATACAGGTCTTTTAACGTGTTGGTTAAATTTATTCCTAGGTATTTTATTGCTTTCGGTGCAACTGTATATGGGATTCTTTTCTTAATTTCTTTTCCCACTCCTTCCTTATTAGTGTATAGAAATGCAACAGATTTCTGTATATTAATTTTGTATCCTGCCACCTTACAGAATCCTGAATTCATTAGTTCTAACAGTTTTTTGATGGAATCTTTATATAGTGTCATGTTATCTGTAAATAGTGACAGCTGTACACTTTATTAATTTCTCCTAACGATTCTTAAAGACAGAACCTCAAACCTTCTCTTTCAACCATTGCAGGTGTGGGGAACCTTCTTCCGCCCAGAATTGGTTCAAACCAGCCTGGAAATGTCACTGAGGAAACTTCAGCTGAGCTATGTGGATCTTTATCTTGTGCATTTCCCAATACCTTTGAAGGTTAGCAGCAGTTATTTTACTTTAATTATAAAAATTAATAGCTGAATACAAGAGACGATATAGTTTGTCAACATGAGGAAAACACATACATAGTACTTCAAGCTTCCTCTTTCTGTTTCCTGCCACAATATTCCCACTCAGCCCCAGAGTGTAAGAGTTCACTCATTTTCAGTGTCTTTGCTTCGATCCTGCGAATGCATTGGCTCCATTTTCAAGACCGCAAGGTCCTGAATCTCAGCCTCATGCCCCCCCCCCCCCCCGGTCTGGTGAGTGTCCCCAGTGGAGACCAGCTGAGGTGCAGGAAATTTAATGAGGATGAAACTCAGCCCTCAAGATGCTGACAAGTTGCTCGTCATATGGAAAGTCGCTCCAGCTGGAAAGCAGGGGTGAGAGCGGCTTCTCCCACAAGGATCCATGGCCCAGGTGCCTGCTGAGTCACGGCGCTGTTCTAGCCTCTCTCTAGGACGGGGCCTCGGGAGTCTCCAGGTGTCTGTGACACAAACAATATTTTATTAAACCTTTAGCAATAAACATTTCTAGGAAGTACACTCCCTCAGTACTTTCTCTCTTTTTAGTCCAACCTTACAATTCCTTTCAAGAATGAGGATAGATTGTTGTATTAGCCTCAAGGTCTGCAGGCCCCCGACAGCTCAGCTGAAGCCAAACTTAGCTTCATCCAACCTCTCGTTCTTCCCTGTGTCCCAGCCCGGGGAGGAGCTCATCCCGAAGGACAAACATGGAGAAGTCATCTTCGACACAGTGGATTTCTGTTCCACGTGGGAGGTGAGTACGGCTCCGAAGATGCTACATCTCTGACACTGGGGGAGAGGGGCTGGGCCAGGAATTCAGGAAACATGGATCCCATCCAGTTCTGCCCCCGTGTAGACTTGGGTGAGTCCCTGGATGTCCCTCTCCCGCCATTTCATATGTTCCCCATTTGATAATTCAGCAAGTGCTTACTAAGTGCCTGTGGTGTACTCAGTACTGAGTATGTTTAAGTGCTCAGGCTGCATTTGTGGACAAACCAAGGGTTCCAGCCCCATGGTGTGGCAGCTGTGATGGGGACAGAGTGAATTTGGTGACCCTCCCAGGGAATGGGGTAAGAGGAAACGGGGAGCCACGGTCGGGAGGACAATATGGCCCCTTCCTGCCTCCCGTGTTGCACAGGCTCCACTTCCTGTGTGCCTGGCGCTCGCTCTGACTTTGCTCGAGTTTTCTCAGGTGTCTGGCCAAAAACCGCACCGGGTCCTTGAGCTGGTCCCGCACCCCTTGCGTTCGTAGCTTACTCCGTCTTCTTGCCCATTTTTTCCTATTATATTATTTTTCATTCTCCTTCTACTCGGTTAATCCCTATCTCATGTGTTGACATCCTCAGCCTTCCAAGGCTTCCTCCGTCCTGTGCTGTGGCACATTCTGTCCCATCCTGAGCCCCCTCTCTTAGCACCGTCCCCTTTACCATGCTTCTCGAGCCGGCTACACAGATCACTCCTCAAGGCCCTTCCTCCACAGGCCATGGAGAGGTGTAAGGATTTAGGGCTGGCCAAGTCCATCGGGGTGTCCAACTTCAACCGCAAGCAGCTGGAGAGGATTCTGAACAAGCCAGGCCTCAAGTACAAGCCCGTGTGCAACCAGGTGGGCCCCCGAACCCACCCCCCAAACTCTACTCCCTCCTTTTCCTCTTCTGTCATTTCAACAAGGTCACCAGTGACACTGCCTTCTCCTGCAGACAACAGAGTGCATTGCAAGGTGTTGAAGACAGTCCCCAAGGCCAAGTCACTTTGTAAAAAAACACAGGAGGGTCAAGTTGGAATATAATCTCCTAGGTGTATTATGGGAGTGGGTCCTAGAAATGTACAGCTAACAAACTACAGACCTTTCTCCTGTCGGGTCAGTAAAGTTGGAGCACTCCTGTGAGAAAGAAAACGGGTAACTCTGTTGAGTTCTGTATCATGAGGTAACCATCGGCACCTGATGGTACAATATCAGCCCCCAACAATGTGAGTCCATTAATGCCATTGAACTTAGAAATGCTCAAAATGGTAAATTTATTTAAAAAATGGTAAATTTAGGGGCACCTGGGTAGCTCAGTCAGTTAAAATATCTGACTCTTGATTTCTGCTCAGGTCATAATCTTATAGTTCGTGAGTTCGAGCCCCACATTGGGCTCTGCACTGACAGTGTGGAGCCTGCTTGGGATTCTCTCTCCCTCTGTCTCGCTCTCCCCTATTATCTCTCTCTCTCTCTCTCAGAAATAAGTAAATAAACATTTAAACACTAAAAAAAGGTACATTTATGTTATGAATATTTTACCACAATAAAACATTTAAAAGTAAAAACAAAAAATTAAGGAGTCCTCCTTGTTAAGATAAACCCACTTTGAGGCACCTGGGTGGATACGCTGGTTAAACTTCCAACTCTTGATCTCATCTCAGGTCCTGATCTCACAGTTCGTGGGTCTGAGCCCTGCACTGTACTGTCAGTGCGGAGCCTGCTTGGGATTCTCTCTCCCTCTCTCTCTGCCCCACTCCCACTCATGCTCTCTCTCTCTCTCTCTCAAATACATAAATAAACCTTTAAAAAAATGGAGATAAACCCTCTTTAATAAGCCATGCATAAACTTCCTGGTCTTTGAGAATAATGGAAGAAATCGTGAGCACAGAAGTGAGTGGCCACACTTTTGCCCTCTGGAGGGTCCACATTCATCCGGCTTTATTTTATCTCCTTTTAAACTTCTTACACGCAGGCCGACAGGGAGTTATAGGTGATCCATGTATTAAATATTAGTGAGGCTTATTTTTTCCTCTTATTTATAGATGAACAATATAAATAAGGATTCTGAAAAGTTGTATTTTGTGTCCCTTGGGAGGTTTACCTCCACTTCAGGGATCATCAGCTTAGAGAAAGTAAATAAACTGGTTTAGCCTGGGGTCGTGGTGAAGAATTAAAGAAGATGCTGTGTGTTGCCCTGGGGTCTACAGAGCGAAAGGACCCATGGCCAAGCTTAGACTGACTGGTTGGTGGGAGGTTTATATGAGCCTGAGGAACTTGAACAGAAGACCGTTCATTGTGATCGGAGGGGTGAACAGGGAATAGTAGACATTAGTTCGAGTCACGTGGTTTGGTCCCAGAGTGCAGTCAATCACCCTTCCTCCGCTTCCGGGTTCATGACCGAGACAACCTTGACACGGACAGGTCATTAGCACGTGATGGCTGACCCGCCCCTGGCCGCCGGCACAGGGCCTTCCCTGCACGTTGTGCTGGGAAACACAGTTCGAGGGGGGGCCCAAGGCAACCTGCGTGCTTCCCCTCAATCTCTGCTCCTTCTTATCAAGTCGCCAGAGTCGGAGGAAAGACAGTGACAAAGGTGTGCGGCAAAAAGTGCATGTGCCACACCTCCCGTTTGGGGCCTGGCATGCAGGGAGCTTGGATGTTGTCCCTTGTGTCCTTATGATAAGAGAAGCTGAATAAACTGAGAGCCATCAGAGATTCGAGGGCACAGGGCAAGCTGCCAGCTGGAAAATTGGAGAGACGGATGGGCAGATACAGAGAAAGGCAGCCTATCAGGGACAGAAAGGCTGCCAGGGTCACTTTGGGGCAGGAAGACATACAACAGCCGCTGCTGAGCTGCTGGAGGCTCAGGGTCAAGTGTGAGAGCGCAGATCTCCAAGGGGCTCCTCTATGGGCCCGTCCACACGCTCTCCTGATGTTTACCCCCAGAAGCCTCACCAGGTTTTCACATGGAATACGAGAGAAAAATCCAGCAGTCGTCGTGAAAACTAGTGAAACATTCTGCTTTCTTCAGGCCCAGCCTGCAAAGGACACCATCGCGCTAGAGCCTGAGCACCCAGGGTTTTACGCGCGCCTAACCCCTGTCATGGAAGGGGAAATACGCGAGGCCAGCCTGAGAATGACAATTGAGCTGAGCCAGCCCCTAGCCCACCCATCCCAAGGCGGGGGTGACGGTCTTTGCCTGCATAACATCGGGGGTACAAGAGAGCAGAAAATATGTGGGTAACATTCTGGGTAAAGTCCTGGGTTTCCAGCCCCCCTACACACAGAAAGGAAGATGACTGTACCGCCAGTTACCTTTTACGGCTCCGAAACCCCTCTCCCCGGCAGCGTGTGTGTGTCACGACACTAATAACAGCTTCTGACTAATCGCAGCTAGCGATTTATTTCTGGTTGATGATAAAAGGGCCAGAAGTCACAGAGCCCGTACACAGGGGCAAGGCCAGGCCTGGGGAAGGGCGCGGGGGTGGCCGTGTAGAGCAGGGCCAGCTGTGGAGGCTCAAGGATCAAGCAGAGACATCGCAACACAGTGTGGGGCGGGAAAGAGGGAAGCGCTGTGGCCTCTGAAGCCACAGAATGGCCTCGTGGACAGGTGGTCGGATGTGAAGGACGAGCGACTGGTTTCCAGGCGTGGCGGCTGTGAAGGGAAGGGGTCGGGGTAAGGGAGTGAGAACAGAGAACGAAGAAAGACAGGGGCTGCTTCTCCTTGACTACAGCGGTGCACGAGGGAGGCCCAAGGCCAGCCCCACGGTCTCCCGTCGACAGACCGAGGGTATCTGTTGACCCCCTACTCTGACTTGTCTGTCATGAGCACCGAGCCCGTTGCTCAGTACTGCTCTGCTGTCCATGGGCGGTGATTGGAAGGCAAGTCTCTGGCAGATCCTCTGGCCCCGCTGTGGCTGATGCTCGTGTGTTGGCCACGTTGCTGGGCCGCCCGAAGACGTTGGCTACCCCGCAACACAGCACCATACGTTCCTAGTCGATTTGGCGGCCGCGGCCCTGGAATCCCACCCTTCTGCTTGCTTTCCGCAGGTGGAGTGTCACCCTTACCTCAACCAGAGCAAACTGCTGCAGTTCTGCAAGTCCCAAGACATTGTGTTGACTGCGTACGGGGCCTTGGGGTCCAACTCAGGGAAGGAATGGTAATGACCTCTGCGTGCTTATCCCACTCACAGATGCTGTACCGTCTGCAGTCATCGCTCAACCGTCGGGGGCAGATTAAGGGCGGGCAGCAGGAACAGCCCACCTTTGTAAACCCTCTAACCAGCCTACTTTGTAAGGACTCGATAAAACATGATTAAATAATAAAATCACTGATTTGAACGTTCAGGCAGTTCAAAAGCTCTGGGTTTAGAGAGTGGCAAAGGAGCCCGCGCCATGATTCGGACACTTGCTGGTTGAGGGATGTGAGACAAGTAAGAGCTTCTGTAAGTTTGGGTTTCTTTATCTCTTTATCCCTATAAAAACGTGCCTTTTAGCACTTGACGAAGCAAGTAATTAATTGAAAGCGTTATTGAAATAGTAAATTCTTAGAAAATAATTGGTTTATTAGAATGGAGATTATTGGGTTTGGGCACAAATTTTGTCTTCTTGACTTTTCCAGTCTTTTATTAAATTTCTCAGAAATGTTTAAAAAATAAACAGATACCTGAAAGTCCTTTTCTGCCTTCCTCTCTCTGGTCCTTCTTCTTTGGACGACCAAAAAAAAGGAGCAAAGACAGATACTGAGACAGCCAGAGGGTAATAAGGCAGATTTTAGAGGATGGAACCCACCTGGCCTGCATGGGCAGCCCCAGTGCAAAATGGCTGGTATACAGTCTCAGACACACAGCACCTCTGCCTCTCTTCCAGGGTGAGCAAGGACAACCCAGTTCTTCTGGAAGACCCAGTACTCAATGCCATTGCTGCAAGACACAGGCGGACCCCAGCCCAGGTGGCCCTGCGCTACCAGCTGCAGCGGGGAGTGGTGCCCTTGGCCAAGAGCTTCAATGAGAAGAGGATTCAGGAGAACTTTCAGGTACACTGAGGGGGGGGGGGGTGCTGTGGGCACTGATGGAGGCACCTCGTTTCCCTCTGGTCTGGGTTCTGTGAGGCACCCCAGGTATACTTGGGCAAAGCTCACCTCCTTGCGTACTCTATGCACGTGGATGCCGATTTAACTGTCTTACCCTCTGGCGGCTGCAGGGAGGGAACAAGGTATTGGGAATGGACTCCAGAAGGTCAGCTTTGGGTTTTGATCCTGTTTTTTCGCCCAACAGTATGGCCTTGATTTCTTCAGCTGCAGAATGAAGGCATTAGAGGAGATGTGATTGGGGCTTGAAAAGGTGTAGCAGGGGCACCTGGGTGGCTCAGTCAATTAAGTGGCCAACTTCGGTCACGATCTCGTGGTTCATGAGTTTGAGACCCGCGTCGGGCTCTGTGCTGACAGCTTGGAGCCTGGAGCTGCCTCGGATTCTGCATCTCCCTCTCTCTCTGCCCCTCCTCTGCTGATGCTCTGTCTCTCAAAACTAAATAAATGTTAAAAAAAATTAAAAGAAAGAAAGAAAGAAAGAAAAAAAAAAAAAAGAAAGGGTGTAGGATTCCTTTGCTGCAGCCACATCCACCCACCCAGAGCCCCCGAGGGTGATCTGAGTTCAAACCACCGAGGGGACACACGCCTGACTCTTGCTTGGAAGGAAACCAAAGTTCATGACAGCCGTCTCATGAAACCTACGTCCATTCCTACCTAAATGTGTGTCTGGGTTGGGGGGGACGGGGAAGGGGACAGTAATCGCTGCAGGGAAATTGAGTCAATCTTCTCACCTTTCTGACAGGCCTTAGATTTCCAGCTGACACCAGAGGACATGGAAACTCTAGACGGTCTAAACAGGAACATTCGCTATTTTCCAGATACTCCGTAAGTAGCTTCTTCTACTATAGACCCTGGGGAGCAGGATAGAGAAGGAATCCATTTATTCCAGTCCACAAAGGGGCTGCCTCTTCTTTGAGGGAAGTGGCTGGGAGACGTTTTTCCAGCCCTTCTAACGCCCTTTCCCCTGCGGCTCTGATGTCCTGTGCCCCGACCCCGCTGGCACGCCAGGGTCAATCGATGTGATGGCGTTCTTGGCAGGTGCCCTCACCTAATGCCCTTCTCCCTCTGCCATACTCATCGGTCTACACGAAACCTGGTTAAATCCCACGGTCTGCCCCCATCATCAGTTCTCCCTCCCCACAAAGTTATTCCTAGGGGTACTCAAACCTGCTCTCGTCTTTAAAGAAACAATCTTCCCTTAAGCCAACTCCGCTCTACACCCCGTTTCTCCTTTCACACGGAAACTTCTTGAAGAAGCCCATACCCGCTTCCTCCAGCTTCTCTCTTCCCATGCTCTTGTGAACTCACACAAACCAGGCATCTGCTCTCCACTTTGCCAAAACTCTGCCCATCAAGGTCACCCATGACCCCATCTTGTTTTGGCAGGATGAACGCTGTCTGCCAGAACCACGTTCCTGGCTTGCTTTCTGCACAGCTGATCTGGTTTCCCTTTGTCCCCCTGGCCATTTCCCTTCCCACGTTCTCTGCAGGTTCCCGCCCCTCCCCCCCCACCCCGCCAGCAACTTGACCTCCTAACTTTGGGGAGACTGCGAGCTCAATCGTTGGACCTCTTCTCTTTCCTGTCTGCACCCACATCCTCGGTGATTTTATCTAGTCTCATGCTTTAAACACCATCTAATACACTCCCCCAAATTACACCCAGCCCAGACCTGGGCCCTGGACTACGATTTGTATATCCCTTTATTCAACTACACTTGGGTGTGTCATAGGCATCTCAAAACCTGTCATGTCTACACTGAGCTCCCAGTGGCACCTGCGAGCACCCCCCACCACACACGCACTGTGAACACGCTCACACCGCGGTGTCCCTGCTCAGTTAGGCCCCTGGCTGCTGGCTGCTCTTCCCACCTCTGTACCTGATGCCGTGCCTGGCACCCAGGGTGACGGGCGCCCCTCTTCTTGACATCTGGCCGCCTGTCTCACTCAGGGTGAAGGCCGCCTTCCTCACGGCACCTGCAAGGGCCAGCGGGTGCTGCGTCCCTGGCTGGCTGTCCTGCATGCAGCCCGGTGGCCTCCAGGCCGGTCCTCACGTGCACCCGTCCCAGGGCCCATCCTCTCTGCCCACAGTGCCCTTCCTCCCGAGAGCTTCACCATCTTCACATCCGCGCTCAGGGCTTGCCTCCGTGATGCCTTCTCTGGCACCTTTCCTAAAAGTGCACCCCTTTGTCTCTACTCTCTTCGTTTTTCTGTTGATATTCCCCATTAGCATACCACACAGTCTATTGATCTATGTTGTTTATTTTCTGTTTACCTCGATAGAAATGTTAGATTCCTAGAGCAGGATTTTAAAATCTACCAACTCCTTGAGTGATAGGTAAATGCTGGTTGGATGAACAATATCCTAAAACGGGAGAGAGGGACGGGTAAGGGAGGGTGGAGAGGCAGGCAGTGATGCTTAGCGGTTAATATCAGTAATTTCAATCCATGTCAATAGTGATTTAGCACTTTCTGTCTTAAAAGTATATTTTTTAATATTTATTTTTGAGAAAGAAGAGAGAGAGACAGAACATGAGCAGGGGAGGGACAGAGGGACAGGGAGACACAGACTCCAAAGCAGGCTCCAGGCTCCGAGCCATCAGCACTGAGCCAAAGTCGGATGCCTAACCGACTGAGCCACCTAGGCGCCCCTCAAAATTGTATCTTTGAGAGAGAGAGTTTACCTCCCTTGCTAAAATGGAAGTCCCCTGATGAACTGACTTAAACCATAATTACTGTGTCCATCCCTAGTTCTAACATATAATTTCTCACCAAGCCAAGGCACAGGTGAATTATTTCTGAGCTTGAAAGAAATGAAACAACAATGATATTCTTACTACCTTCCTCATGATCACCATGAAATATTTGTTAACTTTATATATTAAACCAGACCAGCATTGTTTTAAAAGAAGCAGAATTCGGGGCACCTGGGTGGCTGTCGGTTGGGCGTCTGACTTTGGCTCAGGTTATGATCTCATGGTTCGTGGGTTCGAGCCCCGCGTCAGGCTCTGTGCTGACAGCTAGCTTGGAGCCTGGAGCCTGTTTCAGATTCTGTGTCTCCCTCTCTCTGTGACCCTCCCCTGCTCATGCTGTCTCTCTCTCTCTCAGAAATAAATAAAACATTTTTAAAAATTAAAAAAAAAAAAAGAGAAGCAGAATTCGGGGTCCCTGGGTGGCTTAGTCGGCTAAGCATCCAACTCTTGATTTTGGCTCAGGTCATGATTGTAAGGTTTGTGACTGTGAGCCCCACATCGGGCTCCGTGCTGACAGCGTGGAGCCTGCCTGGGATTCTCTCTTTCTCTCTCTCTCTCTCTCTCTCTCCCTCCCTCTCTCCCTCCCCTTCCCCTGCTCACACTCTGTCTCCCCCCCAGAATAAATAAACTTTTTGTTTTTAAGAGGCAGAATTCATTTCTGCCCTCTTGGGAGTTTAGAATATCAACACACGTAGCTTATCTCGTTAAGTTGTAGAATAACACAGTACCTGAAAAAAAATGTGACATATTGGTTATTCATGAGCATGTAAGTGCATTTTCTACAGTGCATTCATTACAGTGTCATGAATAGTGTGTGGTTCTTATCAAACTGGCTGGGTTTGTACCTGTCCAAAAATAAAATGACATTAATTTTCATACTTAAGCCAATTTTTTAAAAATGTTTTTTAATTTATTTCTGAGAGAGACAGAAGCATGAGCAGGGGAAGGGCAGAGAGAGAGGGAGACACAGAATCTGAAACAGGCTCCAGGCTCTGAGCTGTCAGCACAGAGCCGGACGCGGGGCTCGAACCCATGAACTGTGAGATCATGACCTGAGCTGAAGTCGGACGCTCAACCAACTGAGCCACCAGGTGCCCCAAACTTAAGCCAATTTAAAAGAGACCTCTCTCTGCCCAGCACAGAAACAGTTACTTGACTAAGCCTCTCCCTTTACCTTTCAGATTTAGCTGTCATCCGGATTACCCGTTTTTTGATGAGTATTAACAACGATGTTGGTGCTTGTCCCAGAGTTGATTTTGGTTGATGATTGGCGAACACCAGGCATCTGGTTTATCCCATGTTGCTGACTAATCAGTCACAAGGTGACCTGAGTCCCCAGGCCAGGAAATGAAAGTCTCTAAGCCCAGTCTTTTCCTTCCAAAGTAAATGAAAATACATTTCAAACAACCTCACCTATCAATGCACTGGCTTTTTAGTCTGTTTTGCTGTTTCCTGTGTCACTGAGGTTGAAGTGCTGATATGTACCGAAGTGACCACAGGAAAAATATAAATCTCTAAGAAAACCTAACCATTTAGTTATTTCCCAAAGTCTAGCTTTTTACTTGTTCATAAGAAGTTTTTTCTCTTTTGCTCTGTGAATTTTCCACGTCAATTTTATCAGACCTTTTAAAGGGATCTAAAACTCAACACATAATACAAAAAAGGTCATATTTCAGTACAAAATTACTCATAATGCCAAAAACAAGGAAAGTGTCAAGCCAAATGAAAATGGACGACCAAGATCTGAAAATTATATGATAAAGATGTTAAAGTAGTCATTATAAAAACTGTTTCAATGAGCAATGACAAACACTTGAACTAATGGAAAGATAGAAAGTTTCAAGGAAGAAACAGAAGATATAAAGAGTTACAAAATGGAAATTTTAGAGCCCAGAATGACAAGAATCAAAACAAGAAACTCAAGGGCTAAACAGAGGGGGCACCTGGGTGGCTCAGTTGGTTGAGTGTCCAACTTCCATTTCAGCTCAGTCATGATCTCACGGTTCGTGGGTTCGAGCCCTGAGTCAGGCTCTTGGCTGACGGTGTGGAGCCTGCTTGGGACTCTCTCTCTCTCCCGTTCTCAAAAATAAGTAAATAAACTTTAAGAAAAAGACATTAAGGGACAGAGGAAAGAAATAATGTACCGGAAGATAAAACAATATAAATAACCCAACGGGAACAAGAGAGAGAAAGTCACTTGGAAAAAAAATAAACAGAGCCTTGCAGACCTTGAAGAAAACCGAATTCTAACATTTGTGTTGTCGGAGTAGAAGGAATTTGGAGATGTTGGTAAAAGGTACGATTTTTATTTTAAGTTATGAGGACATGGGAATTATAGTTCATGATACTGGGCTGTAGAATTGATATTTGCTTAAAGAATAGATTGTGAATGCTTTCACCAAAAAAAAGTGACCATTGGAGGTGATAGGTGTATTAACTAACCTGATCGTCAGAATCATTTCATAATGTCTATGTTTATCGTATCATCATGCTATGCGCTTTACATACATACAGCCTATTTGTCAATTATACCTCGTCAAGCTTGGTGGAGAGGTGGGGGCAGGAAGAGAAGACGGAGCGGAACAGCTATAATAGGGCACCATGGGGGTCCTCGTGGCGAGGGGCACATTCTGCCTTGATTGTGGTGAAGGGTTCACGAAAACACACACGTGAAGAAAATCACAGACACAAATCAGTACACAGCTGGGGAGGTCCGGATAAGACCAGTGGGCTGTGTCAAGGACTGAACCCCGGTTTGATGTGGTGCTATGGGTTTTGGGGGTGGCAACATTGTGGGAAACTGAGTAAAGAGTGCCTGGGATGTTCTCTATCACTGCTTACAACCTCATGTGAATCTACAATGATCTCAAAATAAAACATTTGCTTGACAAAATAAGAAACCGGAAAATTGATTCCAGATCCACACCTTCCCTCTCCTTCGGGATTCTTTTCCAATCCCCGGTCAAAAGAATGTGGGTGAGTCTCTAGCCTTAGGCCCTCCTAACAGCCTTGTGTAATCCCAAGGACACTCTGCTCCTCAGCACACAGCCTGGAGGAAGAGGAAGTGAAGACATGAATGACTTATGGGCTACCTGGTGGCTCAGTCGGTTAAGCACCCAACCCTTAATTTCCACTCAGGTCATGATCTCACAGTTCACAGGTTCGAATCCCACATTAGGCTCTGAGCTGACAGTGTGGCGCCTGCTTGGGATTCTCTCTTTCTTCCTCTCTGCTCCTCCCCTGCTCATGTGCTTTCTCTCTCTGAAAGTAAATAAGTGTACACTTAAAAACACACACACACACACACAACAGGAATGATATAGCCCAGCCGGTGAAGCCAGTAACTCAATACACACCCCCTTCCCCTTCTCTGAAATTGAACAATGGGGATGTCAAGCCAGTCAAAGAACCTGACATTACTAGTTGCCAAATGGTGGGATAATTGAGAATTTGGGGTGAGGAATTCAAAAGTCCAGGTGAACCCCAGGGAAAGAACAATCCTTTCTGGAAACTGTTGCTAAATTCAAATTTTAATTTTTCCCTACATTCAAATGATCAGCTATACTTTTTAAAATATATATATATATTTTATTTTTTAAAGCTTATTTAAAAATTTTTTTAAATTTATTTTTGAGAGAGAGAGAGAGAGAGAGCATGCGAGTGGGGTAGGGACAGAGAGAGAGGGAGACACAGAATCTGAAGCAGCTCCAGGCTCCGAGCTGTCAGCACAGAGCCCGACACAAGGCTTGAACCCACAAACTGTGAGTTCATGACCTGAGGTGAAGTCGGGTGCTTAACCGACTGAGCCACCCAGGCTCCCCTAGCTTATTTATTTTTAAGAGGGGTTGGGACAGAGAAAAGGAGAGAACTCCAAGCAGGCCCCCAAACTTGCCAGTGCAGAGCCCGACGTGGGGCCTGAACTCACAAACCACAAGATCATACCTCAGCCAAGATCAAGAGCTGGACGCGTAACTGACTGAGCCACCCAGGCGCCCTGGGTATAAAGCATAAATACTTTTCTTTGGCAACATGCACTTTCCAGCTTGAGCCTATGGGTGGGTGGAGGGGCTCTTTATTCCTAAACTTCAATGTCTAAAAGCTCAAATGCTATCAATTCATAGACGTATTTGTAAGGACTTCAAAATAGAATACTAACTTTCCTCCGGGAGCTCTTTATAAAGTTATGGTCCTGCTAACAGTTACTGAAAGTGCAATTTTTCAAAAAAGTTTGCAACCATTGTAGAGTCCAAATTTCAAAAATGGTGTAACTGGTCAAGGGGGCTGAGAAAGAAGGGCCATAATCTACTGAGAGCATCCAACGACCCGCTTTCTCCATTCGCACCCATGATCTCGGGGCGCCTTCACCGCCAGCCGTCTGCCGCGAAGGCCACGTTTCTAACGAAACTGAAGTTAGAATCAGAACTTCAAATTTCTATATCACAAAGTATCAAGATTAACAAAAAAGAATAGTAAAGCATATTCACACCATTGCTTTTAAAAGAATTTGTTAGTAATCACAATAAATTAGGGAGAACGGAGTTTGGACCATGATTAAAGTTCTTATTTTTCAACTTTTAAAATTTCATCTCCGGGTCAGTTTAAATTTTTTTTCTTTTTCAGGGGTATTTTATAGCGTGCACAACACATGAGTAAAGAAGTGCATTCACAAAACTGCGACACAATGAAATACACACGTAAGGGCGCAAGATGCAAAACCGCTGGCGGCCCAGCGGGCACGACCGACCCCGGGGCCCCGTGGGTTAGGCCTCCCCCGGGGCTCGGCTCGCGGTCTCAGAGATGCGCGTTCGGGCCCCACATCCGGCCCCGTGCCGCCGGGGTCCGGGGCCCACTTCCAACGTGCGCCCTCCTCTCTCCCCGCCCCCCCGCGCATGCGCGCGCTCTCAAAAATAAGTAACACTAAGAATATATCTATTTTAAAAGGGTGGACCCCAGTTGAGCGCTCCGTGGGCCTTGCGAGCGCGGCGGGGGCAGGTGTCACACCTGCGGGGGCGGCGCTCGCGGAGCGGGGGGGGCGGGGGAAGCGCGGCCCCGGCCCGGCGCCCCCCCCACCTGCCGACGCCCCGAGCCGGCTCCGCGTCCCCGCGCCGTGCGCGCTCCCGCAGGACCAACGGCTGAGGCTGTGGGTGCGGACCCCGGGCCGGGTCGGCGGCCTCCCGCGCGACCCCCGAGGAGTCTCGAGTCCACAGGCGTCGCGGCGGCGCCCCCCGCGATCGGAGCCGCGAACGCACCGCCAAGTGGGTGCACGGCGCCCCTGGCGGCCGATCCGGCGCATAGCGCGGAGTCGGGCGCCAGACCCTCCTCTGGGCAGGGCCGGCCGGGGTCCGCCTGGGGTCCCGCCGGGGGTCCGGCCTGGGGTCCGCCTGGGGTCCCACCTGGGGTCCCGCCTGGGGTCCCGCCTGGGGTCCGCCCTGGGGTCCGGCCGGGGGTCCCGCCTGGGGTCCCGCCTGGGGTCCCGCCTGGGGTCCGGCCTGGGGTCCCGCCTGGGGTCCCGCCTGGGGTCCGGCCGGGGTCCCGCCTGGGGTCCGGCCTGGGGTCCCGCCTGGGGTCCCGCCTGGGGTCCGGCCGGGGGTCCCGCCTGGGGTCCCGCCTGGGGTCTGCCTGGGGTCCCGCCGGGGGTCCGGCCGGGGTCCCGCCCGCTCGCCTACGTGTATCTGGAAGCACCGCCCGGGCTTCACTGATGTTTCCCGGAGACGCGGCAGAGCCGTGGAGCCGCCGGCGCTGGTTCGCGGGTTCTCCCCGCGTGAGCCCTGGGCACGTGCGGGTGCCCTCGCTAGTGCAAGCGGCCCTCGGGGACACTGCGTCCCAATCTGCCCTCCCTGTTTCCATAGACAGGAACGTGGAGGGGGCGCCTGGGGGCTCAGTCGCTTCGGCTCAGGTCGTGATCTCACCGTTCCCGAGTTCGAGCCCCGCCTCGGGATGTGCGCTGACGGCTCAGAGCCTGGAGCTGCTCCGGGTTCTGGGTCTCCCCGTCCCTGCCCCTCCCCTGCTCACGCTCTGTCTCGGTCTCTCAATAATAAATTAACAGTAAAAAAGAAAAAAAAGAAAAAGAGAGAAGAAAGTGGCGGACCTTACAGTACTGCTGGTCCCTCAAGGGTCACCCGTGAGCGACGTTTGTCAGCGCCCGACTTTAAAGTGTAGGGGTGAGAACCCATCTACCCCACGTGCAGGGTCTGCAAGGCTTGGGTTACAGCGGTAAGGGCTCTGTCACATGCGGGCACCAGCGAGCCTACGAAGGAGGATCAGATCATCAGTTCAAGTCGTGTAGCTCTAGCGCACACACGTTAAATCCTGCATGTTTATTTACTTGCTGTGACTTATTAAAATGTTACGCGAACAGGTCCATGAAGTGTGCATCCAGGATATACTGCCGACGCGTTTTAAAAGGCAAATCACAAGTCACATATGCTGAGGGGCCGGTTTTGTGAGGGGTTCTTGCACATGGGTCCTATGTACATGGATGACATATTTTATTCAATTTATCTGCTTGTGTCCTAGACACGGGCCCAGGTTAGAAGGCCCCTCCGGAAAGAGGATTCTTCTTAGATGTTGCTATTCTAGGCCACTTTTATTTTCTGCAACTGACCTTTTCTCAGTTTTCTTTACATTCTGAATCTGGTAGAATTACTTCACTAAATAGCAAAATTCTGTAAATATTAGTAAGAAGCACTATGAGCCCGTGGTGAGGAACTTTTCTCATGTTTAACAAACAGGGAAACACCTGCAGCTCATTCATCAAAGTGAGCCTTTTTCATCGAACATGAGAATCTGTAGCAGCTTTTGAGAACAATGGCCCAAGCGCGGTGCTCAGTGCCGTCCAGTGAGCGGCGGGGACCCGTGTCCCACGTGGCCCTGGAGCCCGGGGGGACGGACCGGACACGGAGCGCTGGAGGGCAAAGCCCCACGCGTCCTGTCTGCGTGGGGTTCCCACGGCCGTATTTAAAGAAGAGAAGCCTCTGTGTTGAACGGAGGCCTCTCCCACGGGTAAACCATCTGGGGGGCTCGAGGGAACAGAGGAGCGCGGATGGCGGGGGCGGCCCAGGGTTTCGAGTGGGGCCGCACGACAGATGCAGACAGTCGTGCTGGTCTCAATTCCTGTATTTAACGATTTCCGTCATACAACCTTTCTTCCGAGAGCAGAGGCCACACGGCGTGTCTTGTCAAAATCCTGTCACACTGTGCTCTGGGGAGCCTTAGGACTGGGGGTTCCCCACAGAGAGTCACCAGGGCGGTCCCCGTCGGGGCAGAGGCCAGCGGGCCGGGTGCACTTCGCAGGGAGCTCAGCTCCGCTCCAGGCGGGCCTCTGCCCAAACCAAAGCCCGTCCCTCCCCTCCCCTCCGGCACGCGGGGTTTGGACCTGAGGCCCGGGTGTGAGGAAGGCGGAGGCTGTGCTCAGTATTCTATGTGGAAAGGATAGTCCTTGTGGTTTTTAGCTCTGAAAAACAGGAAAACAAATCAAAATGAAATGTTTCTTATTTTTAAGAGAAACATCCTAAAAGACACAGCTGTGTGTTTTCAAGCTCCCGGATGTATTCATCTTTGGACTCATTCAGTGGCCCGTCCTCCAACAGGAAAGGCTTAGGAGAAGGTTTAATTAACCTAAAATGGATGCGCTCAACACCTACTCGGAATCGCCTCAATCTAAATACGGCTCCCTCTCCCGGGAACGGAGGGAACGGGGACGAACTTACGTGGGTAATGTGCAAATTCGGAAATTCCTGTCCAGGTCGAAGATGTCATTCATATCCTTTTCTGATAACTCAAAGTCAAATACCTGCACCCAAAACAAAATGTTCACAGCGAATTCAGCTCAGGGGACATTTAGTTGAGCCTATGTTACGTGCAGAGTGCCAGGCCTGCGGGGACACAGAGGCGTAAAGGAAACACTGCAGGTGGCATCTGAGACTTCTCAGTGCCTCAGCCTCCCACGTGCACCGACTGTGACCCTGTGCCTGGTGCTGGCTGGCCCGGGCTGGTGACAGCCCTGCAAGACCACGACTGATGTGTGCTGCAGCACCCGGTGGGGCTAAGGTACGCGCCAGAATAGTTAAGAGGTGGGTGCCGGGAGCCGCACCGGCCTCGCTGGACGGCAGTCACAGCGAGGAAATGGCAGTGTTTGCACAGCTCCTGCCGTGAGAAACGAAAACTGGGATCTCCTTCTGCTACTACTGGCTCGTGTTGGAAATGAGCCTGCTGGTCTTGACCAGGCCTCACAATATTCCAGATCAGACCGATATTCCCCACACAGATTGCTCATAAGGAAAAGCATATTCCTGCCTTTACAAAAGAGATTTCAGATGAAATCTCGTGGATATGGTCAAAAGGCTCTTCCTATGGGCCTTGCAGACCCAAGACTTAGATAATAAAGGGGGTTAAGAACACAAGAGTTACAACTGAGCCTGGCCCCGAGACAAAGAGCCTATTTTGGGGTTAAGATACAGATAAGGGCAGAACACAGCTACTACATATATCTTTGCTAATTGGTGAAACACGTCAGTCCCTTCCTCAAGGCCTACATTCCACAAACACCCTCCCTTACACTGGCAGCTGGGATGAGGATAGATAAGAGTAGCTAAAACATAAACCCAGGTACAAAGACTGACACATTTAGGGCCCCCATGTTAGTTTCCACAAACAAACCAATTCAGAAACATTCATTCTCTTGAGAGCCAGACAGAATAACTCCTAGCTTATCTATATACAATTTAACTTATATGTTATCCTGTTTTTCACTAAGAACATTCTGTTATTTCCTTGGTCGGAATAATTCTTCAATTGATATCACAAAAGGCCTCCCATTGTAAGAAATTCCTTTCTCTGACTTCATGTTGTTGCTGAACTTTTAAATAAAGACACCAAAACCGACAGGACAGAGATGCCTGCCTGGTGATCAGAAAGAATCTCGGGGCTCTCACTCTCTCTCGCCAACACCGTCCATCCTTCAGGGACCCCTGGACTGGCCGGAGCCGGCCTCCGACGGGTGGGGGTGCAGCAAAGGATTTTTCCCATTGCTCAAAACAAAACAAAACAAAACAAAAAAAACCCACAAAAAACACAAAAAATGAAAAAAACCCAAAAAACAAATGAAAAGGAAAAACCAAAAACATTTGTGCCTCACACCGTCGCAGCTAGAAGGACCCTGGTCCCCGGGGCCACCAACTCCAGCAGTAGCCATAACACGGTGTAATTTTTGTTTCCATTCCTCGTAAAGCAGAACGCTGAGTGGCGCCCCGCTTACCCCTGACCCACTCCTGAAACACGGCTGTTCTCACAGGAGAGCCAGCCCTGGTCCCCAGCTGAGGAGCCCCGAGGGAGGGGACCGGCCGGGCCCAGCCTCTGCCCACAGGAGACCCTCCGCCCCGACTAGCACAAACCAGGGGCTCGGTGTCAACAGCGGCTCCCCCAAATCCAGGTCCGGGCAGCCGGGCGCAGCGGTCCCGAGGCTTGGGGCGCGGACACCTGGCTCAGGGGGCAGCCCCGTGAGCCTCTGGCCGCCACCGCGGCTGGTCAGTACGTCCCCCTTCCCCGTTCTGTCCTGCCCCCCAGCTCCCGGGCTGGGTCCACAACGGTCACACTCTGGGGGTCCTTGTGCTGTGGCCGCAGCTCCATCCGGCCCCTCGGCCGCGTCAAAGCCACAGAGGACGTCTGTGCGGGGGTCAGACCCCCAGCTACCTAACGTCTGATCCCAAAGCCTCCAAGTAAAAGAAGAAAAAAACACTTTCCTGGATGTTCTCACGAATCCGTTTTGGGGTGACAGATTTGGGGATCACTATCACATTCCTCTGGATCTGGAATCGGATCACAATCTGCAGAGAAAGGTCTGGTATCAGACAAAGGGCAGGGCAAGCTTTTATTACAAGCTCTTCTGTTCCAAAGCCCTTCGGAGTCCAGCCTGGCCCTTTCTGGACAGCCCCTCCAGTGCGCGTGCTGAGCGCCGCGGGCCCACGGACGCGCTCGGCTGGGGTGGGCCCGGGAGCCCCCCGGGCGGTGGGAGCAGGGCGCCCCGCGCGGTGAGCGGACCTCCCTCCGCCCAGCCCGGCTCCGGGAGGAGGCGGGCACCCCCCTACCTGGGCGGGGGACCTGTGGTACTTCCGTGCGATCCTCCGGATCACGGGGTCATCCAGCAGCTCCACCCCCTCGCTGGGGACAGCAGGACAGGGCGGGGGTTAGGGGGGCAGACGCGGTGCCTCGGCCTTCAAAGCCACAATCCGTCCTCCAGAACCAAGACCTACGTTTATTTCTGTCTGAGCACAATACCGGTTCCCGCAGGAAATCTGAGTGACGACAGGGGCCCATCACCCACACCCCACGGTCCAGAGAACACGTGTCGGTGGGGAGAGCTGGGCTGCTGCCCGTGGGAATCCGGGGTTTCCGCGAGGACCGGGGGCACCAGGAGAGCGAGGGAAGGGAGCGCGGCTCTGGGGAGGCGCCGGCGGAACGGCTGACGTCTCCGCGCCCCGCGGCCCGGGCCGGGGCCTGCAGCTGCTGGCGAGGCTGCTGCTGACGGTGACTTCCGAAAAGTCCCCCTCAAACACCCAGACGCGCGGGGAAGCTTCGGCGCGGAGAACCGCAAGGCTGCGGCCACGCTGCTACCCCTCAGCGTCTGTCCATCAGGGACAGGCCCGGACCACCTGGGGGGCCATTTCTTTGTCCCCTGCCACCCTCGGTGGCTCCGGGGCCCCAGGTTCAGTGGCAGAACGCGCCCCAGCCACTACCAAGTTCAAACACATGTGCCCCGCTTCCCATGGGAGACACACGGGTAATAAGAGTCCAATGCTTTCCGCCCTCCCTGGACCCCTAGTCTGCCCCGGCCCTGAGTTATATGTGGTCCCTGGGCTCATGCAGCAATGACAAGTGGGAGACTGAACAGGAGATAATGGCAAGGCAGTGTAACGAGGGCGATGAACAGAGCCTCCATAAGGGAAGTCAGGAGGGCTTCCTGGAGGAAGTGATGCTGAGCTGAACTGGACATCAGAAATCAGAAATCAGAGTTAGCCAGATTTTAAAAACACAAGATACTAACGAGATGTCTAGAGGGGCGCCTGAGTGGCTCCCTTGGTTAAGCGTCTGATTTGGTCTGAGGTCACGATCTCACTGCTTGTGGGTTCAAGCCCCGCATTGGGCTCTGTGCTGACAGCTCAGAGCTTGGAGCCTGCTTCCAATTCTGTCTCTGTCTCTCTCTGCTTCTTCCCTGCTCGCTCTCTGTCTTTGTCTCTGTCTCTCTCACAAATATAAAATAAAACATTTAAAAACATTTAGAAAACAGAGCAAGACTGTTAGGTAAAGAGATGAACCGATGCAAAAGCACAGAGCATAGACGGCGTGCCGCCGGGAGCCCCACGCGGGTTCGGGTGGTTTGTGCACACGGAGGCAGAATTGGGCAGGGGTCAGACCAGCTGGGACTCCTAGTACTTTCCGGCAGGAGAGTGGCCTGATCAGACGGACGGCTCCCTTCGGCTCCCGCGTGCAAACGGACTGGGACCCGCAAATCTGGGTGGAGCCGAGGCTGCTGTAACTGCCCGAGAGAATTCCCACTAACGAAGGCCGCGGTGGGAGAACAGAGATCACCGGACAGACCCCAGGCTGTCTGGTCGGGGGTGCTGAGCGGGTGGGGGCTCGTGAGCCCACGCAGGGCCCAGCACACGACCCGCTTCTGGGGGGAGAGGCCGCGTGCAGACGGAGAAGCTGTGAGCCAGCGCCCCGAGGTGTAGCCGCGGCCCTCCCCGCGGCCCGCACGCCCCGCGCACACCGCCTGGGTCAGGCCCTCCGCGAACCGTCCAGATCCCACCTGTGGGTGCCCCCCCCCCCCCCCCCCCGCTGCCCCCCGGCCCTGACACACCCCACCTGGAGCCGCCGAGGGGCCGGTAAGCCGTCACGGTCACGTCCCTGGATTGGCAAAACCTGATCAGGTTCTTCTGGGTAAGATACGGGTGGCACTCAATCTACAAAGAGAATCAGAGCTCGCCAGGAAGACCCAGGCCCCGACTCGGGGGAAGGGCACACCCACGCCTCCGCTGCCCAGCCACGTGCCCCTCTCACGCTCAGGTGTCCACGCGCACAGAGATCGCCTCGAGAACGGGCGGGAGGAGCCCCGGGCCCCTGGCCACTCGGGGCACCTGCTTGGCGAGGCCCTCCCTCTGCCCCTTTTCCGCGCCAGCCCGTGTCAGTGTGACACCTTGCAGGGTGCTTCTCCGTCCCGTGATGTCGGCTCCGCGGAGGCAGGGCTCTGAGCTGGCTCCCCAGGCACCTCCCCAGGCACGTCCCCAACCCCAGGAACAGGCCGGGCCGGGGGCGCCCAGTCAGGGCGCCGCAGGTGAATGGGTGAAGGTGGGGAGGCACGGGGGACACGTGCCCCAGGGGACTCCCATGGCCACTTTAAGCAGCTTGAGAGCAGGATTCCAGCCTCCACACTAAGTTCTCACACATGACTCCAGGTCATCGGGGGCTGAAAACACTTGTTTAGAGTGAATTAGGAGCTATGAACAGCCCTTTGAGGCTCAGGAACGTGCCGGAGTCCCGGGAAAAGTCTTCGGAGGGGACGCTGCTGGGGGCTCAGAGCCCTGCCCCTCCAGCCCCCCCCCCAGACCAGGCAGCAGCACCCCCAGATTTAAAGCGCTGTTCAACGTGAGCCCCGACGGGCCTGCAGCTCAGACCCCGCACTCTGGGCCCACCCGGGTTCGGGCAGAGAAGCGAAGCCCGGCCTGGCGTTGGACGCTGGCCGCTCAGACCCCGCACTCTGGGCCCGCCCGGGTTCGGGCACAGAAGCCAAGCCGGGCCTCGTGTTGGACGCTGGCCGCTCCGTGGGAGGCAGTGAGGAGAGCTTCCCGACGGCAGACGCGGGTGGGCTGCCTGCTCCGGGCTGCCCTGCACGCTCACCTGTGGGAACTCGGCGAGCAATGCCCTGAAGACGACACCCCCCTGCGTCCGTGTCACCCATGTTTATACAAAATGGGGCGTGATGCTCCATTCTTGATGTCCCCAGACCGGGGACTGTGCGGGTGGCCGTCAACGGTAGGGCGGTAACTACAGTGCGGTGCGCACAGCGAACACCAGCAGAGATGAGAGCGATGGGCGATCATCCAGGAACACAGAGGAATCTAACAGGTACGACTTGTTAGAAGTCCGACAGGAAGGAGTAGGAAACGGGTCACTGAAGTTCAAGAGCCACAGCGTCCGCTGTCAGCAACCGGCGCCGGGCTGCCTTTGGCTGGGGCGCCAGCAGCGGGAGGAGGCTGGTGGCCGGGTGCTGGCCGCGCCCTGTCTGCATCTGCTGCAGGCACAGAGCCGGGCCGGCTTATGAGAGCTGATCGAGCTCGTCTGTCACGGGTGCCCTTTTTCAATGTACACGACACTGGAGCAAATGTTTAGGTGAAAGAAAGTACTGCAAAACGCCTTTTCTACAAGCAAAGCCCTTTCCTCACGAGCCAGCCCTCTGCACCGAAGTCCTGGCAGAGCCCATGAACCCCAGGCTGGAGAGGGGCGGGGGCCGGGCGCTTTCCCAGGAAGCCTGCTGTGAGCCCCGCGCCACGGAGGGAGGAGGGCTCCCAGGAGCATCACCACTTCTGCACCGAGAGAACCAAGCTCAGCCTGCGGCCCACCTCCCAAGGGCCCCACCTAACCGGACAAGCCTTTCTGGAAGCTCTCCGGCCTCGGCACCTGTTACTTGTCTAACTGCTCCCTAAGTCACCATTTTTGCAGCCACAGGAGAAAGAAATGTCTGCTGTGTGCCTCCCCCCTTCCGTTTCCAGTGTAGCCACGGGGAAGCGACAGCTGAAAAGCCAGCTCCGTCTGTTAAAGCCTCACCTGGTTCGTCACTGGCTTGAACCTCAAGTTGGGTTTATTCAAAAGTCTCTCAAGCTGCTGGTGGTTGAAGTTCGACACCCCGATGGCTCTCACCAGCCCTGTGACCACCAGGTCCTCCATGGCCTGCAGGCGACAGACCGTCATTCTGCTCCCCGACACCCACGCCCCTCCCTCCCCTGCGCACCTCGCTGGACCTGCCCTCTGACGGGATTTCTAAGTACCCCGCCGGATGCCCCTCAGGCGTCTCTGCCCCCAGGGCCTGTCACGGCCCGGGACCCCTGGGCACGTTGTATGGCCACACTAAGCCTCGGTTTCCTCATCTGCGAAGTGGGGACGAGCTTGTTCATGTCACAGGGTTGTTTTAAGGATTCCATCAAATAACACACAAAGCGTTTAGCTCAGGGCTGGAGTGTGGCAAACACTCGACATTTCAGCTGTTGCTTTTCCTTTCGCATCTGTGAAACGGTGTGCGGCAGGGATGTCCGTCGCGGACTCTTTGTTTGCCGCTCTTTCGACCTAGATTATGTGCTTCCTAAGCACAGTGACGTGCCCTCATCCTCCTGCTGGCCGTGAACTTCGGGTGTGCGGCCAGGCTCCCCGTCCCCTTCCACACCCGCACCCCTCGCTGCTTTACTCCAGGCCTCTTCCGCCTTTGTGTCTGGAATCGGGCCACCCGGCCCCCAGCCCCTCGCAGGCCTGGCCGCACCGCCGGGCCTCGTTCAGGGATGTTCGTGGCCCAGCCTTCCGCAACCACACAGCAGCTGTAGTGGCTACAGCCGGGTAACGGAGAGGTGGATTCTTAGACGTTCTTTCTCACCTCTTCCGTATTTCTGTAGTGACCACGTGATATTCTCATCAACAAACCAGTGGACACAGGGGCCCCTGGGGGCTCAGTCGGTTAAGTGTCTGACTTTGGCTCAGGTCATGATCTCATGGTTCACAAGTTTGAGCCCCGTGTCGGGCTCTGTGCTGACAGCTCAGAGCCTGGAGCTGCTTTGGATTCTGTGCCTCCCTCTCTCTCTGCCCCTCCCCCGCTCACGCTCTATCTCTCTCTCAAAAATAAATACACATAAAAAGACAAACAAACAGTGGACACGGAGACTAAAGGGCGCTCTGACTGAGAGGCGAGTCTGACTTGTCATCCCTCGAACGGACGTCCTGGCCGGGGAACCAGCCGGAGCTCAGGCAGCAGGCGGGCAGCCCAGGTGCAGGTGCTGGTTCCCGGCGCACAGCACACACGAGAGTGTCGGGGGACACACGCGCCCCCGCACACGCGTGCGCATGACCTGCTGGCACCCTGCCCGAGGCCACGGCTCACCTCCCACGTGTCCAGGAAGTCCGTGTCGCTGGGCAGCACCATGCCATTGCGGTCCACGGGCAGGTCTTCTTCCCCAGGCTGTGAGAGGCAGAGGCGGGGGCTGACGGGGTCTCCCAGGAGGCCCAGGGAGGGCCCCCCCTCACCCCCAGCCGGGCCTGACCGGGAAGGAAGGTGCTGCCGGCGGGCTCTGTGCCTCCGGGACGGTACCTTGAAGCCCATGGGCCAGTGCATGAGGTAGAGGTCCAGGTAATCCAGCTTCAAGGCCTTGAGGCTCTCGGCGCACGCCGCAGTCACCAAGGACTTCTTGTGTCTGGTGCACCAGAGCTGCCGACGGGGAGGAGGGAAGCCAGTGTCAACCTCTGCCCCTCCGTCCCCCCCAGCCTGGGATCGGGAAGACAGACGACATCCGGGAACAGATGGCAGCGAACACAGAGGGCCAGTGACATCACCCTCCTGTGGTTCCGGGACAGGGAGACGGGGACACTGTGACACGCGTGGGAGGGGCTGTCGCTGTCTGCTTATCTGGACCCACTAGGACCAGAGAGAGAAGCCGGAACCAGACCAAATGGCTGTGAGCAGAGAGGAGAACTCCGGAGAACTTGTACACTGTTTCCTACCTAAGTCAACGCCATGTTCAAGGTCCTTTGTTCTGAGGACCTCATGATCATGCAGGTTAAATTAGGGATGTTAACACCACTGCCTTGTATTGACTGAGAGATTTCCAGCCACACCCCCTGTGAAGTAGAAAGTTTCTCATTTTTTTCTCCCATTATGTCCCGTTATACTATTTGGTACTAAGTGTGACAGAAGCTAATCTAGGGACCCCATCACAGCAAGAGAAGAACCAAAAATAAATAAGTACAAGAAAGAGGATTAAAAGATACAAAAACAGACTCTAAACATAGTGTATTGATGGCAAAAGAGAAGAAAAACAAACAAAACCCTAAAAACTGTCATTAACAATGGTACTCTCTAAACAGAGAGTATAAAAAAATTCTATCTGTGACTTTTCCAAATGTCAGGAATGATGAGCACACTTCCCCTGCTGGCTCTGAGGTCACTACGGGCTGACCTCAGCCATCCGTTACCCCCTCTGCCCTCCCTCCCCAGGCCCTGAGCACTTACGGAAATCATCCCAAAATAGAACAGAAGAGCAAATCTACAGAAACCACACCGAGCCCTGCGATTGTGGAAATTAGTCCTGGAAACTTCTTGGGAGATGATCAAATCCGGACCCCCGTTTTACACACAGTGAAGCCATGGCCCCGTGCCATCCAGGGACTCGCCTCGTCTCTCGGGGCTTGTGACAGGTGGTGGGGCCATCACAGATGGTGGGGTCATGAGAGGCCACGGGACCGTGAAAGGCCGCAGGAGCGATGACCCACGGCTCCTGGCCTCAGAGTCCTAACGATCTGCTTCCAAGCCCAAGGCAGAGGGGTTCCTGAACCCTCCCCGCTGTCTGGATCTGCCACTACCGGCCCCTAAACACCTGGCTCCCTCCTGGGCCGTCTCCCGCGGTCCACGCTCGGGGCTGTGACTTTGGCCTCCGGCTCGAAGGCCCGCTCCCTTCGGCTGCTGCAGTCACCCAGCCCCACGGGTCTGGCTTACACGGAGTCTACGCCCCCCACTGAGCCCCTGCAACGTGCTCCTCTGTGCGAGGCAGGCAGAGTAAGCTCCTGGGAAGGCAGCAGGGACTCCGAGGCGTGGCCTGTCGCTCCTGCAGCCGCACTTCTCATCACTCGGCCGCCTGACGTTTTCCGATCCAGGAGCACCGAGCTCCTTCCAGGCCCCTGTCCCCAAGGTGCTGCCCCTCTGCTTGTCCTGCCGTCCCCGTCCCCTGCACCCGCACCACGCCCAGCGCGTGCATGCAGCTGCCCGAGCGTCCAGTACGAGCTGAGTCACCAGCTCCTGTGAGGTCACAAAACCCTCCACGCACGCCGTCGGCTGTCCCACGCTGCTGGCCCCGCACACCGAGACCTACCTTACTGACGATAAACAGGTCCTTCCGCGTCACCGCGCCCTCCTGGATCTTGCACTGGATCCCGGCTCCGACCTCACTCTCGTTGTGGTACAAGTAAGCGCAGTCGAAGTGCCGGTACCCCGCGTCTATCGCCACTTTCACTGCCTCGGTCACCTCGCCTGGAGCCGCCTGCAAATCCAATGCGACAGAGGCAGTCCGCCCACATCAGGGCATCCCAGCCTCTGCACTTGAAAATGTAGACTCAGACCCTACATGAATGAGGGAGCACTAAAATTAGGGGGGTCAGAGTCAGAAAGGATTAAGACGCAATCTAAGTTCCAACTCCTTTCCTTACGTGGGGGAAACTCTGTACATATTTTAGTGCCCGCAAGGAACCGAGTGAGATGCTTTGTTTCCCGAAGGAACAAAGGAATAAGTAAACGTAGGATGAATCGTGATAGAAACTGAGACACAAGAAGGTATAGACTCACCCTCTACCTGAGGAGACCAGGGGGCCAAGTGTGAAGGTAAGCGGGTGTGTGCTCACGCGAACAGCCCGGCACATGCGGAGCCCCTCCCCAAACCCCAGGGGACACTATGGATTCCCTCAAGAATGTGAAGTTCAGGAAACGCTCACGCTGAGCTTGGTTGCTCACACAAGCAAAGGGACTGGGCGCGGGGGCAGATGCCTGGGGAGGACTCAGCACGGGAGGCACTGAGCACTCCCAAGGGCTTCGCAGCCCACGAAACACCTCCCCACCGGAGCCTCACTAGCCCCAGGTGCTGTGCCAGAACAAGGGTCTTCCTCTGACACGAGAGGCACATTCCGGGGGCCAAAAGCTAAGGAAACATCCACCTGAAGTTAGAGAATGATCCATCAAGGGATTAGGAGGAAAGGAAATCTGGCAACAAGGATGAATATCAACTAAAACTATGATGGAGAAGAGAAGCACAGCCAGAGGTTAGTTCTTCGAAAAACCTTAATAAGGGAGACACACTTCTGACAAGAGCGAGAACCAGAAAACAAGTTATACAGACACAACAGAGATCCCAAATCTCAGGAAACCTTACCAGTAACTTTAGCTGACAATTTGGAAAAATGAAAAGAATGGGGAAAATCCCTAGAAAAACTTACTCAAGAAGTAAAAGCTGACTTGTCCTATAGTTATTTTTATTTTTTTATTTATTTCTTTTTATTTCTAGGAGAGAGAGAGAGAGAGAGAGAGAGAGACAACGTGAGCAGGGGAGGGTCAGAGAGAGAGGGAGTCACAGACTGAAACAGGCTCCAGGCTCTGAGCTGGCAGTCAGCACAGAGCCCGACGCGGGGCTCGAACCCACGAACCGCGAGATCATGACCTAAGCGAAAGTCGGACGCTTAACCGACTAAGCCACCCAGGCTTAGTTATCTTTAAAATGAAGCTGTTAAACACACACACAGGTCTACAAGATTTTCAAGGACGTACTTGTCCCAATTTAACACAAAATCTTTCAGAGAAGAAAAAAGGAGAGAATACTCCCAACACCTTCTACCAAACCAGTATAACCCTGGAGTCAAAAGCAGACAAAAATATTAAAAGGAAAGATCTGCGTTCATCTCACTCATGAGTAAGAGTTGCAAAAATCCTAAGTAAAGTAACATCGGACTGGATGTGACAATATATATGGAAAACTAACATACCGCATCCACAGAGCTCATCTTAGATAGCCAAGGATGGCTTGGTATCAGAAAATCCATAATAATTAGTCACATTAACAGGTTAAAAAAAAAATCACGTCAGGGTGCTTGGGTGGCTCAGTTGGTTGAGCATCCGACTCCTTAGTTCATCTAAGGTCATGATCCCAAGGTTGTGGGATCGAGCCCTGTGTTGGGCTCTGCACTGAGCATGGAGCCTGCTTGAGATTCTTTCTCTCTCTCTCTCTCTCTCCTCTTCTGTCTTTCTCCCCTGCATGCGTGCTCTCTCTCAAATTAAAAAATAATAAAAAATAAATCATGTTAATCAATGTTGGATAAGATTCAACACCCATTTGTGATTTAAAACTCTCAGTAAACTAGGAAAAAAGGAAACTCTTTAACCTGGTAAAGAATATCCACATTTAAAACAACAATAAAAAAAAAAAAAAAAACACAAGAACAAAAGCAAACCAAAAAACATAGGGGCAAACATCATCCTAAATGTGCAGGTATCAGAAACACTCCTTTAAAATCAGGGACAGAATGAGAATGGTCACTGTAGTGGAGGTCCTGGCCATCCATGAGCAGCTCAGAAAAAGCAATTTGAGACTTAAGGATCAGAAAAAAAGAAATGAAAGTATCAGTATTTGCAGATGATATGAGCATTTAGGTAGAAAGCCCAAAGGAATCCTTAGGCAAATTAGGAGAACTCATAGGACAGTTTAGCAAAGTGGCTGAAAATGTGATGACTATACCAAAGAAGGATTTTTTTTTTTTTTTTTTTAAAGAAGCCTCCATGCCCATCCTGGGGCTCAAACTCCTGACCCTGAGATCAAAAGTCGCATGCTCCACTGACTGGGTCAGCCAGGCACTTGGAGAAGGTTGTTTTCTATGCATCAGCAGCAAACAAGCTGGAGACGTAATTTCAGAAAAGTTTCATTTCCAACAGTATGGACCAATTGCGGATGGTCCAGGATCCAGGAATGATCCCGACAAATGAAGTGTATGCTTTCTACGGGAAAGCTGCACGCACAACCAGAAAGAGAGTGAAGGATGCACTCTGTCCAGGACAATTCACTGGCACAGAAATCTACTGTGCTTGTAGAAAGCCAGATGTAATGTCATAAAGTTGCCAGTTCGCCCCAGACTGATTGACAGATTTAATGTGATTCCCCAGGCCCAGAATGGGCTCTGTCCCGCCTCTGGGACCTGGGCTGCCCTTGTGCTTTACTGTGGCAGAGAGGCCAGCCCCGAGCCTAGGCTCCAGGTTGCCCCGTGCTCTCTCGTGCCTCAGCCATCACCACGAGAATACCCCAGATTCTCCTGCTTGACGACGAGACAGGCGGAGCCACGAGCCGCCCTGACAGTCCCAATCGGGAGTAGCCAAACCCCAGACCCCGAGCGAGCCCGCCAGTGCAGAGCCCAGCTGACCACCCGACGGGCAGCAGGGGTGAAGCACACGCTGCCATAAGCAATGGAGTTTGTGTGGTTGGTTGTTGGTGCATCACTTCTAGAGCAACGGTCTGTGCTGTTACACGCCTGGAAATGCCCAAATGAAAGAAAGGAAGACTTTGCGCGGATCGGGAACGGGTCATTAAGACGAGCCCGACCTGAAGTCCAGCAGCCACAACAAGGATCGTTTGGGCCTCTGAAAACAGTTTCCGCTGGTTTTCCTTTGGCCGTTTGCAGGGCGGGATGCCTGGACCCCACCCCCTGCAGAAGCCAGTGCATAAGAGGCAGGACTGGGGGCAGGCAGGAAAGTCCAAGCATGTAACCCCCTGAGCGCCCCCAGCAGCTCCCGAAAGCACATCCAGGGCTACACACGGCGAACCACAACGAGTAGAGTTGCCTCCTTGGTCTTTCAGAGTTGGGAGGTCCGTAGAAGAAATGATTTAAATACTGTTTTGACGAGCAGGGTTGATGATTCCAATTCCTGCTCATCCAGTAGCTTCTTAAGTGAATTCTCAAATGAACGTCTCTTACTGAAGAAGAGGAGTACAGGGGCAATGAAAGCAAACGAGGAAGGCCTGGTTGGCGCCTCGCCGCCGGAAGTTACCGGTCACGGAGGCCGAAGCGCAGCAAGTGCCCGAGGCCCCGCCTGGCTCTCACAGGGGCGCTGCACCCTTTCCCTCTGAAACCACCCTTGTTCATACTGCGGGTGGCAAGTCCCGCCAGTCTCTGGGGAGGTGCCACCAGCTCAACCACCAGCCCCGACCCCAGCCCGACCCCGGCCCGACCACCGGCCCCCCAGCCGGACCCCGGCCTGACCATTGGCCCCCCACAGCCAGACCCCGGCCCGACCACCGGCCCCCCCCAGCCAGACCCCAGCCCTCGGGCCCTGACCCAGTCCGACCACCGGCCCCCCCAGCCAGACCCCAGTCCGACCACCGGCCCCCTCAGCCCGGCCCCCCTAGTCCGACAACCAGCCCCGACCCCAGCCCGACCCCAGCCCGACCGCCGGCCCCTCGGGGTTCCCACGAACTTTGACTTCTGAGCAGTGAGATTGAGGCCGCGACAAGGAACGCCAGCATTTCCGGAGAACCCCCCCTTCAAACAGGGGCGGTGGCGCCGAGGCAGGCGGCCCTGGGGGTCCCCTCCGCCTCTCGGAGCGCCGCGGACGGGAAAGGCCCCCCTCCCCCGGGTCGCGAGGCCACCTCACCTTCCAGGTGCCCAGGCCCAGAGCTGGGATCTCCTCCATGCTGCCGAGCGCCGCCGCCGCGCGACACCCGGGGCGCCACTCCGGGGCTGGCCCTGCCACTGGCGGGCGGTGGGCGTGCCGGCGGGCGCTCCGATAGGCCGCGGGGCGGTGGGCGGTGCCGGCGGGCGCTCCGATTGGCCGCAGTGGTAGGCGGTGGGCGTGCCGGCGGGCGCTCCGATAGGCCGCGGGGCGGTGGGCGGTGCCGGAGGGCGCTCCGATTGGCCGCAGAGCGGGGCGGTGGGCGTGCCGGAGGGGGTGCTCCGATCGGCCGCGGGGCGGGGCGGTGGGCGGTGCCGGAGGGCGCTCCGATTGGCTGCAGTGGTAGGCGGTGGGCGGTGCCGGCTGGAGGCTTCTCTGATTGGCTGGGGCCTCCAGGGTGTCGTTAGCTGGCGACGCCCCTCGGGCCCGGGGACACCCCCAGGTGTTTGGATGCGGGAAAGCCCAGCCCTGGGGAGTAGACGTGCGCAAGCGCCGGACTCCGCGGCGCGACTCGGGCTGTCCCGGCTCGGCTCCGAGTCTAACAGCCGAGTCCTGGGAGCACAGCATCCGGAGGCGCGAGACGCCGGGCCGGTGGGCTGGTGCTCCGAGGCTTCCAGGGTCGGCAGGGCCAGGCCATCCCCAGGAATGACTGGAGAGGACAGGTCTGGAGCTCTGTGTCCACCGCCTGGCGCCTGGGAGACCCCTAACCTCCACCCCCACGGGGACGCGGCTGCATAATAGAGAGGGAAGGCCTCCCTTTGCGACCTGATGTGCTTGCGGCAGGGATCCCGAGGGTCCCACAGGCTTCTAGGAGCTGCCGGCCTCGGTTCTCCGTGTAGACACACTAGGCTGAGTCCAGTAAATGCTTTCTACTCCCCGGGGCCCCTGGGGACTGAGGACCTGGGTAGTGCAGAATGTGGCGGAGCACTGGCTGCTCCTCCGAGGACCAAGGCCCCTCCTTCCCGGCCAGAGCCTCAGGTGGACTTGGGCGGAGTCCTTACCCCGGAGGGGCTGAGAAGGCATCCTGGGTCAGGTGGACACCCCAGTACAGTGGTCGGGAACTGGGGGACATGGAGGACCCGAGGTCCCTCGCATTCCCCTTGGAGCCCCCAGGTCCTAACCCCTTTGTCCCCTGGAGTCTGGAAACCCCACTGCCTTGAGGACCCCAAAGGTGTATTTTAATCTCTGATTTCCTGCTGGGCCTGCAGTTCTGGCGCCCACCGCCAGGGGGTGCTCGCTGCTCTACCGAGCACCTGGCGCAGGGGACACCCCCTTGCCTCGGACCCAACAGGGACCTTTTATTATGAGCTTCTCTGAAGCGGAAGGGAGCCCCTAGACCCTCTCACGGACTTCTTGGGCTACTGCCTTCCGCAGGGTGAGTGCCCTAAGGACCCACATGGTCCCTGTGCTCCAGGTCACAGCCCAGAGTGGGGGATGGACAAAAACACCAAGGGGAAGAGCAAGTGCTGTGCGGAAATGAAGCAGCGGGCTTGGGGGCCAGCCAGGAGCCCCTAAGTAGGGTCTAAAAGGCCTTCAGGGTGGCATTCACGCTGTGACCAGAAAGACCAGAGCAGCTGGCTCCGCACAAGTGTGGCAACAGTGCGCCAGGGGAGCTCACAGATGCAGAGACCCAGAGGTGCTGGGAAGAACCTAGTGTGGCTGGGGAGAGCTGGGGAGGAGGGACGGGGAGGGAGGAGAGCAGGGCCGGCGGTGGGTCTGGCGGGTATACTGCTTGTGTACGATGTGCCACACAGTGCCCTAGCTTGGTGCCATCTCAGCGTCTGTGATGAGGATCCGGGCTTGGCTCAGCAGAAGCCTGTGCCTCAGGGTCTCCCAGGAGGCTGGGCTGTAGGCTCAGCGAGGCTCTGTCCGGGCAGGTCCACTTCTGAGCTCGTTCACAGGGTCCGGGCAGGATTCTCTCTGCCCCTCTCCCCTGCTCACACTCTCTCTAAAATAAAAATTCTTCAGTAAGATTTTGTACAAGATTTTCACCTCCATGGTTAGGTTTATTTCTAAGTACTTTATTCTTTTTGATGCTATTATAAATGCAGTTATGTTTCAATTTACTTTTCAGATCATTGTTTACACAGAAATACACCTGATTTTTGAGTGTGAGTTATGTATCCTGCAACTTGGTTGAATTGTTTTAGTTTTGACAGGTTTTTGGTGGATTTTTCCACTTAAGTGGTGTCATCTGGGAACCCAGATCATTTTACATCTTCCTTTCTAGTTCAGATGCCTCTTACTTTTGTTGCCTCACAGCTTTGGCTAGGGTGTAAGATACTAGGTTGAATGGAAGTAGCCAGAGTGGGCGACCTCACCGGTTTCTGCAAAGAAATACCTGCTGAGGTATTTTATGGGGATTGTAGTTGCATCAAATCCACAAGTCAAACTGGGAGCACTGACACTTTAACACTGTCCCAGGAGAAAAGAAACCACAGTTTATAAAGGAAGAAATGATACACTGGGAACAAATATTTCCCACTCATATCTCAGGCAAAGAGCCCAACACCCCCTATAAAGAGATCCTAGAAACTGATAAGAACAGCCACAGGATATAAAAGCGGGCAAAAGACTCTTCACAAAAAAGAAATATAAAGAGCCTTAAACACATGATACATACTCAGTCTCAGTCATGACAAAACTACTAGATCCAAAAGATTAAACATAGGCTCTGAAGCTGTGTGGAAACAGGGACTTTTATTCTTGCCGACGAGAATGCAAGGTGCCTCAGATGGAGCCAGTCTCCCCACATGCATCAGAATTACAAACGCATTCACCCTCTGGTTCGACAATCCCAGTTCTGCAAATTCACCCCACGGAGACACATCCACACTTGGACATTTGTCCAGGGTTCTGCGCCGCAGCCTTCTGGGTTCGAGCAAAAGATCGGAAACAACCCAGTTCGCTTCATCAGGGATCTGGTGAGATGAATGACCACCCACTAGATGAAATACAATGCGGGTGGAGACAGGATTCGGAAGGAAAAGAGTGAAGCTTCCTATCTGTGATTTGCCAAGATCTCTCCCTGGTCCTAGCTGCCGTGAGCCGTCAATGCCAGGGTCATCGTGGCCGCTGGTGGTTCAAGCCCAGGGACCCGAGCCCAGCTCCCTTGGTGAACTCTGGGGTTACCGGAGGGAGGGAAGACAGATCACAGGAAGCTCTTCTTTGTCTCACAGTCTCAAGACAAACTTCACGTAGGAACCTAGGAACAGGATTTCCTCACAAGCCCATTTTAAAGACGGCCACACTGAGGATCTATTAGGGGAATGGTCACGTGGGGATGGATCACGCATAGCATGGGTGTTCAGACCCACAAGCCCACAACCCCTCCAGCCCCACCCAGATTCACCTCGAGCTGCCGGCTGAGGACGTGTACAACCTGCTAACCCCGGCAGCTGCTCCCGGATGAGCCCGGACGCTTGTCTGTGCCCCACGTGCCCTCAGTGGAGCCCCCGCTCCAGCCAGCTCCATGCAAGCAGGGAGGGACGCTGCTTTTCCTGTGCTGTGTTCCCAAGCCTCTAGAACAGCGCCCAGTAGCCAGCTGGCACTCACACAGGCTCTGAGCCAGCGTGACCCTCCCAATCCTGCGGGCTGCTGCTACAGTTGATGATATTTTATGTTTTAAAATGCACACATGGTGGAAATTTACTTTTAATTATTTTCAGTGGTATAATTCAGTGGCATTAAGTAAACACAACGTGCTGTGCAGCCATCACCACTATGTATTTCTAGAATGTTTTCATCATGCCAAACAGAGACTCTGTATACATTACCACAGACACCAGATTCTGCTGCCCCCCGCCCCCCAAGCCCGCTTCCGGCTCTGGGGGATTCCAGAAGCTCTTTTCAGGAGCCAGGAATAGTTGGCTTTTTCTGTGGGTGCAGAGTGGGAAACACTGGCACCAGCAAACACCCCGGTGCCCACCCGCTGGCCCCGACCACCACTATCTTTCTGTTTCAATGCATTTCCTTCTCCCGCCTGCGGCCACAGCCGCCCCTTCCTCTGTCCCTTCCCCTGCCCCCCCGCCCATCCCCCACCAGTGCTGAAGGCCCGGATGATGCCAACCTTCCTGGCACCATGAACCCTCATTGCTACCTGGGCCTCTGTCCTTCACCAAGAGGGCAAAGGTCAGGCACGGAGCCAGCTCAACCCCCCTCTTCACAGGAAGCAGACAGGACTCAAAATCGCCAAGGGTATCTTCTCACTAGTCCCTCACGCTGGCCAGCACGGGGTCACATCCCCCAGGGCCTGGTGAGTCAAGCAGCTAAGTACTTACGGACTGAGCCACCCCCCCGCCCCCCGCTCCCCGACACAAAGGCGGGCATCTTCTGCCAGACCTGCCAGCCCAGGCCCCTCCCAGGGTCCAGACCCCTCCTGAGACTCCCCTGTGGTCACACATGATGCCTGCCCATCAATGCCCCCCCCCCAACCCGTCCACCCACTGCCTCCTGTGTCCTCTGTTCTCTCGGAGCCGGAAGACTAGCCAACACCTACCGAGGAGGGTGACGATGGCCGCCGCCCTGCGTATGCCTTCCTACACGTGGCCAGCGCAGCTCAAGCCATGGGTGCCCACGGCCACGGCCACGACTCGCCACCCGGCCAGGCACTGGTTCACTCATGTAGAGCCAGAGGCCAGAGGCAGCGCACTCCCCGGCCTCGGACGGACGCAGGTGCGCCCTCTCAGTCAGCAGCATGGGACCAACATGTTCCGCACTGGGTCACAGCCTCAAGTCCTGGTGCTGCCACTGGCTGGCACGTGAGGTCTCTGCCTCCTCCGCTGCCCCACAGCTCTCCCCCTTCCTGGCGCCAGTGTTTCCCACTCTGCACCCACAGGAAGAGCCAAGCACCCTTGGCTCCTGAACAAAGAGAGCTTCAGGAACCCCCCAGAGCTGGACGCGGGCCCGCGGGGCCTGCAGGAGCCTGGCCATCTGCTGCTCATGCTGTCCCCACCATTCTGGGGCCCACAATCCTGTCATCTCCAAGTCCTCGGGGCACAGGTCAGCCTCTGTCAGCCCCTCTTCCTCTTCAGCTTGACCACAACCACCAGCTGCGTGGGGTCATCAGCAATG